TATGCAATTCAGTCCTAAACCTTTTGCATTGATGCCAATTTAGTCATAAACCTTTTTTTGGTACTAATTCAGTCCTAAACCTTTTGCATTTGTGCCAATTCAATCCTGAACCTTTTTGTCTTTGTGCCAATTCAGTCCTTCCGGCCAATTTTGACCGAATTTTGCTGACATGGACGCCGGCCGGTCACCGGCGCTGACGTGGACAACTTTTAATAATAGTTTAATATTTTTTGAATTTTTATTTATTCTTTTCTTATTCTTTTTTTTTCCTCCCTCCTTCCTCCAGCCGGTCGCCGGACCGGCGACCGACCAGAGGACCTCACCGGCCACTGGCGAGGCTCGCCCTCGCCAGCGACACGAAGGCAAGCCTCGCTATGGCTGGGCGAGGTTGGACCTCGCTAGATCTGGCGAGGACGTGCCTCGCCAACCACTGGCGAGGCTCGCCCTCGCCGACCACTGGCGAGGCTCGCCCTCGCCAGCGACGGCGAAGGCGAACCTCGCCAAATCCGACAAGGTGCAGCCTCGCCCAACCATGGCGAGGCTCGCCTTCACCGTCGCTGGCGAGGTGCAACCTCGCCCAGGCATGGCGAGGCTCGCCTTCGCCGTCGCTGGCAAGGTGCAGCCTTGCCAAGGGCTAGCGAGGTCGACCTCGCCCAGCCATGGCGAGGCTCGCCTTCGCCGTCGCTGGCGAGGTGCAGCCTCGCCAGGGGCTGTCGAGGTCTACCTCACCCAGCCATGGCGAGGCTCGCCTTCACCGTCACTAGCGAGGGCGAGCCTCGCCAGTGGCCGGCGAGGTCGCACTAGTGGCTGGCGAGCTGGCGCCGGTTTGGACCTCGCCGCCCTCTGGCCTTTGGCCGGTCCGGCAACCGGCTGGAGGAAGAGGGAGAGAAAAAAAAAAAGAAAATATATTCAAAAAATATTATTAAAAGTTGTCCACGTCAGCGCCAATAATCGCCAATAATTGGTCTTCAAGGTGGACACCAGCTGCACCGCACTCGGATAAGAAGCTTGGACAGCTTGAGATAGTCGACGTATGGGGCGCTGCCCTCTCCTCTTTCACTCATGCTCATCTGCGCCTCTCTGCTTACGGGCGGGAAAAGTGTAAAAAAAATCCTAAACCTTTTGCATTAGTACCAATTTAGTCTTAAACATTTTTTTATGCCAATTCAGTCCTAAACCTTTTGCATTTATGCCAATTTAGTCATAAACCTTTTTTTGGTGTCAATTCAGTCCTAAACCTTTTGTATTGGTGCCAATTCAATCATGAACCTTTTTGTCTTTGTGCCAATTCAGTCCTTCCGGCCAATTTTGGCCGAATTTTGCTAACATGGACGCCGGACGGTCACCGGCGCTGACGTGGACAACTTTTAATAATAGTTTAATATTTTTTGAATTTTTATTTATTCTTTTATTCTTTTCTTTTTCTTTTTTTTTCCTCCCTCCTTCCTCCAGCCGGTCGCCGGACCGGCGACCGACCAGAGGACCTCACCGGCCACTGGCGAGGCTCACCCTCGCCAGCGACACGAAGGCAAGCCTCGCTATGGCTGGGCGAGGTTGGACCTTGCTAGATCTGGCAAGGTCGTGCCTCGCCAACCACTGGCGAGGCTCGCCCTCGCCAGCGACGGCGAAGGCGAACCTCGCCAAATCCGACGAGGTGCAGCATCGCCCAACCATGGCGAGGCTCGCCTTCACCGTCGCTGGCGAGGTGCAACCTCGCCCAGGCATGGCGAGGCTCGCCTTCGCCGTCGCTGGCAAGGTGCAGCCTTGCCAAGGGCTAGCGAGGTCGACCTCGCCCAGCCATGGCGAGGCTCGCCTTCGCCGTCGCTGGCGAGGCTCGCCTTCGCCGTCGCTGGCGAGGTGCAGCCTCGCCAGGGGCTGTCGAGGTCTACCTCACCCAGCCATGGCAAGGCTCGCCTTCACCGTCACTAGCGAGGGCGAGCCTCGCCAGTGGCCGGTGAGGTCGCACTAGTGGCTGGCGAGCTGGCGCCGGTTTGGACCTCGCCGGCCTCTGGCCTTTGGCCGGTCCGGCAACCGGCTGGAGGAAGAGGGAGAGAAAAAAAAAAGAAAATATATTCAAAAAATATTATTAAAAGTCGTCCACGTCAGCGCCAATAATCGGCCAATGTCCACGTCAGCAAAATCCAGCCAAAATTAGCCGGAAGGACTGAATTGACACAAAGACAAAAAGGTTTAGGACTGAATTGGCACCAAAAAAAGGTTTATGACTAAATTGGCACCAATGCAAAAGGTTTAGGACTGAATTGACACAAAAAAAAAGGTTTAGGACTAAATTGGCACAAATGCAAAAGGTTTAAGACTTTTTTGGCACTTTTTCCCTGCTTACGGTCATGGTGCTGTTGAGCAAAGAAAAGGTGTTCGACCTTGCTCGGGAAGGTGTCATTGGGATAGAGAGGTGTGGCCCCAGTTCTTTGGTGAACATGTGGGTCGACGAGCCCTGCCAACCAGAGACTTATATCGTGTCCAAGTGCTTCGCCATGATGGTCACTTGCACGGGCCCGAGAGCAACGAAAGTCCGGAATGCGGTGCCATTGGCTTGTTGGGTCTTCAGGGTCCTCTAGAGCTTCTTCCCTATCTTGTTCGAGCCATGGCTTTGTCTCAAGTTTCCCCGTAGTGCCATGACGTCTCTAGCTGTACAGAGTTGTCGAGTTAGCTTGAACCTCTCGGTGTTTCACCATGCTCTGCCTCGGCAACTTCAGCTTTGAACCTCCCTTCTTCCTCTATTAAGTCTTCAAAGATTTCGACCATTTTCGCGTACGTTTAAGAATCTTTAGTGATATTATATGTCAAGCAATTCTTATTAAGACTCAATATATAGCTTGAAAAGTTTTATTGTGATAAGAGAAACTGACTGTGTAGTGTTGGAGAGTATCAAAAGGTACTGTTGCTTATTTGTGCAACTGTAGTTGGTGGTATTTGGAAACATATATAATTAAGTAAAATAATGCATTAAAAAAATCAGCTAAGAAGTCCTTTTTTTGTCAAATTTATTTATTATCACTAGGTTGTGATCTTATAGAAATGTTTATGCGTTTGTTCACACGACTTAAATAATGAGGTGCCTTTAGAAAAATTTATTATGAGTTATTGTTATTAAATTATTGGCCAAATACCATCAAAAACTTCAAATTGTGCTCATTGTGACACAAACACCCCTAACTTTTTTTTGCGTCACCAAAAACCCTAACTTGGCCACTGTGATACAAATACCCCACATTTTTTTGTGTCACGAAAAAACGTAAACTTATACATATGTGACATATATATACCCTTTATTACAGTTCCAACCAAGATATATTTGTTACATTGATATAAGTTCAGGGTTTTTTATGACACAAAAAAAAGTTCAGAGTATTTATGTCACAATTGGCAAGTTTAGGGTTCTTAGTGACAAAAAAAAGTTTGAGATATTTGTGCCACAATGGAAATAATTTGGAATTTTCGGTGGTATTAATCCTAAATTATCAAGCCTCTCCAAAGCCCAACTATCCCCCACCACTCCCTTCTATTAGACTTCCTCCTGATGGTAACTTAATGATCAAGATAAACAAATATGAATGTGCTAAATCCATATAGCAATAATAATCTAATTTATAATGGCGAGACAGTAAATCATTATTATCAAACTAGTTGGAGCTTCATGTGTTGTACAGACCTGAAGTTGATTTATTAAATATTTGTTTTGAAGATGTATAGTGTAATTTGACGAAGCGAGCAATCATTTATCAACCGTAGAATGGAATTTTATCTGGAGCATATGAATCATTTGTTTAGTCGTTTTTTTGGAAATACGCCATTTTTCATTTAAATGTTGTTATGTAGAATGTTTAAATTATATTTTATGTATAGTATTAGAAAAAAAAAAACTGTAGCATATTGTGGGATCTATACTTGGTAAAATTTGTGTCTAGATTAGTTGTATGGTATATTTAATAGGATCTTTTCCAGATGTTTTTGGGACCTATAAATAAGTCACAGGTTGAAGCATCAAGGTTAAGCAATCACATTATTCTCACTACTATTTGTAACTTGGTATCTGAGACCTTGACATCTGTACTTGGTGCCTCGAAGTCTTGACATGGAACCTTGACCCTTTACCTAGAACCCCAAGTCGGACTTGGGACCTCAATGTTTGGAACCCGAGACGTAGGCCTCTTGTCACTCGAACATAGACTTCGGCCTCGGCCTCGGCCTCAGCCTAGGGACATCAATTCCCAAACTGACCTCACGGGATGGACATAGACTCGCGATTCCAGTCCTTGAAACTGGAATCACGGAGGCTAGACCAAGCACCTTAAGGTTTGGTCCTTGGCTCAGGGTACGGGTTGGGGCACCATGGTCCAAGGTAGGACCCTTGGGACACCCAACCCTTAAAGAAAAAAAAGAAGTTCAAGAAACCAAATTGAATAAGTTTCTGCCGGTGCCCTTTTCTCAAAACTTTAAACTTTAGGGGAGAGTTGGTGTAAAAAAAAATTACAAGCTTCTATTTTAATTTCACATATTTTCATGCCCTGTTTTTGGTTGTCAGATTTAAGACAGAAAATGGCAGATGTAAATTAAAAGAGACAGGCTCGAGTCTCTATTCCACTCGAAGAAAGACTAACAAATATTGCTGGTTAATTTATTTTTTTTGTGGAAATTGCTGGTTAGATTTCAACTGGCATAAAATGACTTCACTCTACCTTTATTTAGATGATTATTGTTCTCCAAATATAGCTTCTCACTAGCAGATAGACATTTTATTACGATTAATTACGACCACCACTAACCACTCAACAACTGGGAATTTTATTTTTTATTTTTTATTATTTATAAAAAGAACTGATCTTCTCTTCATTGGAATCTTCTTTCCTGAAATATATAAGCAATCTTCTAGTGCGTATGACAACTGATGCCAACATTTGTACAACAGACACAACGTCATTTGGTACAGAGATCAACTTTTGAGGTTTGTCGAAAAAAGTTCAACCATAATTAGATGGATTAAATAAAATTCATAACTGACAATAGAGTAATCCTTACATATAGTGCCTCCGGATCATTTAGTCTCGTGGGATCCACCTACTATATTTTATGGATTCACCGGACTCGACGGTTCAAATGAACGAAAGCAGATACATCCAGTCCCACCCAGTTATTTTTTCATATGCTATAGTGTACATACGTGTCATTTCCTTCACTGAAGGGAGGAAATGATTTTATGCAAAATAATTTACGCCAAAATCCCGCCATCCAAATATGGCTAGAGAGAAATTGGATCGATTATCAATGAGTGCACACGGCTCCTCGATTGATTGTCAGGAGACCCAATTGCATCTCCATCGTGGTACACACAGTGCGCCATCCGCGCAAGGTTGAAGGCCATCCGCACAAAAGATTGATTGAAGGGCGAGTCATCGAGTAGATATTTGTTCATTTTCATCCACACTGTGTCAATCAGTTTTATAACGTATTTGCGAGCCTCTGACTTGGAGACCCCCATCTCTTGCATGTAACACCGGATTGAATTCGTCATCTCTCCTCTCTCGAGCTCAGCCTGTTAGGATCATAGTTTTGCCAATTGTTTTAAAAGAAGCTATTCAAAACATTATGAATATGTGGATGGTAATTTCACTTGTTTTGCTACAGAAAAATGTGCTTGGATAAGGTTAATGTCGCCAAAAAAAAATTGGATTAGAGAGAGCTGAAGAAATGCGTACCGATGAGGTAGCAAGATCATTGGTAAGACGTAAAATCGTGGACGGCAACCGCAAGAGGTCATGGTGATGTTCTAGTGATTCAAGTTCCTCCTTTCTCATGCTTGGGCTTGATAAAAAGTAGGCATGAGTCAATATGACGTGCCCTGATGATGATATCCACCCATTGTTCAAGTACTCTTCAACTCTTGGGGTGATCTTGTTGTTACTCCATTTTGCTTCTTGCAAGAAGGCTTTGCACAAATCATACCACTACGAAACAATAGAAACACCAAATTTCCATATTAGGTAGAACACAGATGCGTACATGGTCGATGAAATCAATGTCGAGTCGTGTACCGCTTTTGTCAGATACGGGATGGCATTTTTCCCAGTCTCCTTGAGAGTGTCGTAAGCCATTTCGTTCACGTTGTTGTAGAGAGCTAAGAAGCACAACTTCATATAGTCAGGAAGATCTTCCACAGCTTTAATGTCCCATCTGAAGCCACAAATGATAAGATGGAAACTTAAAACTTATGAAACGCGTGAATATTATTATCTCCAAGTACATCGATGAGAGATGGACCTGCGAACAGCGTCTGTGAATAGCTCCAGTTCGTCCAATGTGCCATAAATATCGTACACATCGTCGAGGATGACGATTAGCGTGTTCACTTTGGTCAGCCCTTTCCGACAATTACTGAGTGGAGGCTCGTCTGCCACTGCGACCGCTAAAAAGAAGCACTCCGTTAGTCTATCCCTCGCGAAGTTCAACTTGTTTGCGAGGCCAACATTATTCCACCATCTGCAGTAATTCCAAGAGTAAAATGTTAAGAGTATGCATTGCTATTTTCTCGAATACATGTCAAGCTTTCTTAAGTCTAATTACCTTATAGTCCAACAATTCCACCATCAATTATAGGATCTATCCTTGTTATTTTGCATACTAACCTTGACATTTCCTGGAGATCTCCTTGGAGGATTGATTGCAATGTGTTGAAGTTCATCGCGGAAAATGTGAGGATTCGATGACTCGTGTATCTACGTCTGCTATAAGCTTCGATGAACCGTCGAGCTTCTAACAACGACGTTCTACGGTGCAGAGACAATTCCAATTCATGGTTCACTTCGCCTTGAAGATCTTTGTTGATGTCGTGATCAAGGTTTTTGAGATGCCCAATGGCGAATGTCTTAGCCTCGTGCAAGATGTCTTCTTCTTCGATGGCCAAATTGCAGGCTTCGTGTAAGCTCAGCATACCTTGGACATCATTCCCTAGGGTCTTCAGAATATTGCCGCTTTCGTCCATGAAAATCTTAAACACATCTGTTTTATCGTCACCAAGATTAGTACGTTTGATTAGAGAAAAATACTATCGAGTTGTTCCTTAGTGAGTTATCTCTCCCCTAATATATATTCATGTGAATATATGGTGAGGTCCTATGCTGTGAGTTGCTCTAAATGTCACTACAGCAAGTGTTTGGCATATAATACTTCAATGTGTCATAGTGATTACAAAATAATTATCTGTTTCTTAGGAAAAAGTACCAAAAAAACCTTAAAACTATTGTATTGGTGTCAATTCAGTTATAAATTAGACTAATTTAGTCTCAAACATTTCACATTTTGCCAATTAAATCTATCCGGCCAATTTAGACTGGAAATTGCTGACGTGGACCTAGATCGTCGAACGTGATATAGCTAGTGCTGACGCGAAATTTTTTTATAAATTCAATAATTTTTTCCTTTCTTGTTTTCTTTCTTTTTTCCTTTTACCAGTCGCCGGCGAGGGCTCAACAAGGTCGACCCTTGCTCAGGCAAAGGCCCCCTTGCCCTAGCCTAGGCGAGGGTCAACCTCGCCATATCTAGTGAGGGGAGCCGTCATCGGCGCTCACCCTCGCCCAGGCAAGGCCAGCCCTTACCGATGGCCTGCAACTGGCCACTAGCAGGAAAAAAAAAAGGAAAAAATTCAAAAAATAATTTAAAAACTATATAAAAAAAAGTCTACGTCAGTGCCGGCCATGCCATGTAGGACTGGCACCATCCACATTAATGATTTCTTGCATAAATTGATCTGATGGACTCAATTGGCAAGTAAAAAGATTTAAGACTAAGGCTCCGTTCGTTTGGCGGAAAATATTCTCCTTTTGGAAAATATTTTCCCGGAAGTCATTTTCCTGGAAAATGTTTTTCCGGAACATAATTTTCCGGTGTTCGGTGACCAATATGAAAAAGTTTCGGAAAATATTTTTCACCGGCAACCGGCGGCGCGGCTGCGGCGAGCGACCGCGGCGGCCGGCGGCGGCTGCGACGGGCGGCCGGCGGCGGCTGGCGACTGGCGGCGGCCAGCGACCGGCGGCCAACGGTGGTGACCGGTGATCAACTTCCTCTCCCACGGAAAATATTTTCCCTCCTATGGGCAATTTTGTCTTTAATTTGGGGGAAAATGATTTCCTCTTTGTGAAAAGAGGAAATCATTTTCCTCAAAACAATGAAGGATTTGGGGGTGGGGAAGGAAAATGTTTTCCCACGGAAAACATTTTCCGCCCCCGAACACCGGAAAACGCGGAAAATATTTTCCGGAAAAATATTTTTCCGCAAACGAACACAGCCTAAATTGGTCCAAATGAAATGTTTATGACTAAATTGGTATCAATATAATAGGTTTAGAACTTTTTTGATACTTTTCCCCTATTTCTTATAATCATTTTGAACCTTTACATACAAAAGTAAATACAACAAAAGTTGCAAAAAGCATCTTGATCCCACTTTAGAGAATTATCTTCTAATCGTTTTATATCATCAGATTTAGGATGAATTACCTTGAGAAACATGAAAGCCATGCTGTCTAAGAATCCTAAAGCTGAGTGCTGTGCCATGCAGAGACTTTTGTAGGCTCTTATTGACCACATCCGGAGATAGACATCTGTGAAGTGCTCGCAAAATGTCTTCCTCAAAGTGTTGTCCCAATCCTAAGCGTCGAATGTCATCAACCAGAGCAAATATGGTAATGGGCTCAGCATTTTCGTCATGGAGAGCACCCCTGACTTCTTCTTCCACCATTTGTGCCTTTTCTCTCTGTAGCTTCTCCTACATTAAAAACAGTAAAATCCAAAACTTAGTATTTGAACCCTAATAAAAAGCAAAGAAGGAAACATAATTTTTCAAAAACACACACACACATATAAAAGTTTTGATACTTCAAAGAAAGAGGAGGAAGTCTTCTATCTTAAGATCCCATTTGTGTCACATGCCTAGGATAAACATAGTGCCGAACTTGTGCAACAGAGATTAAGAGACATGAAAATAGTGGATTTCATCTTTTCATGGCATGCTGATGATTTTGTTTGGTTTATATTGCTAAATCACAATTAATAGGGCGTGTCTTTCTCTGTTCTTATTTGGAGAAAACTTATTCCATCCTTTTTATTTGGATCCTCCAATCAGTATTCAGATTTGTGGATACAAACATGGACATCACCATATTTATGTTTAGTTAAATTCATGTTCAGGTGATGACCACAACTTCCAATTCATCCATCAAAAACATGATTAGAGGATGTTAAGGAAAATTCCCAATAGATTTTGAAGTTGACAAAACTGTCCATGAGTGTTTTGTAAGTCTGATAAATGCTTTGAAGTATTTTGATTCAGGAAGTTGTTTTTGGAAGAAAAGCATATGTCAATCTTGATCTAGTTCGTGTTCAGATTGTGAAAGAACTTCAAGCAAAAGAGATTCAGACTCAGAACGAGAAGTTCAGACTCAGAACGAGAAAGTTCAGACGCAGAAATTCTTCAGACGCAGGCGCTGAAATTATTCAGACGCAGACGCTAAAATTATTCAGACGCAGAATTCAGAACGAAACATAACAGCTAGTGATCTGGTATGGATTTCACAGAAGGAAAGTTTTGATTGTCTCAATCTAAGGCTATAATTGATTGACAATCAAACATTACGACAAGTATACATTACAACGGATAAAGCTCTACTTATGGAAACCAAGATTCTGATTGTATGGGCGACCAGAATCAGCGGGATTCAGATTTTATCAACCAACGGCTACTCAATCCATTTTATACAAATCTGTCCAAAGGTGAATATTGGAAGATGATCCTCTGAAGACTGTCCAACGGCTAGTTTGGAAGTGGAGGAGTATAAAAGGAGATCAACGAGGAGCAGAAGGTAGAGAACGAAATCAAGAATCAACAAGTCCAAAGTCTGAGCATACTCCGATTCAATCTCTTGTCTTTCGTGAGCTTAAACGTGTAATCATTTGAGAGGTGTAGACAGTGTTATAAGTGTGTGCTTAGGTGTGAGATAGTGTGATCTATCGGCTTGGTATAAGCAGCACCAGCTTCGGGGAGAAGTGCTTGGGTTTAAGCAAGCACAACTTGTCAGTAACTTCTCATTGATTTGATTAGTGGAATCCAGCCGGTAGGGCAGTAAGCGTGGGAGAGTGGACGTAGGCTTGCTATAAGCCGAACCACTATAAACTTGTGTGCGATTCTCTAATCCCTTATCTCTTACTTTACATTCTGCACATCAAGAGCACAGTCTATATAATCTATCTTAAATCTGAATTTTATTCAGACTCTTCTGCGATTTATTTTGTTTCCGCATAAATTATTGAAACTTGTTTTAGATCACCTATTCACCCCCCTCTAGGTGATCCTTGCTAGCTACATCAATTGGTATCAGAGCAGGTTGCTCGTTTATTGAAGTGTTTTACTTCTGAGCTAACGATCTATATGGCTAGCATGAGTGCTCCAGGTCTTATTGAAGGACAAAGCAATTCCAGGCCACCATATTTCGATGGCAAAGAATATAGCATCTGGAAAAACAAGATGAAGGCATTCATCAAATCAATTGATCACATGCAATGGGATGTTGTCATCAGAGGAATCAATCCAAAACATTCCGTATCTACTTCAAACGAGAAGCAAGAAGAAAGCAAATCAGCAGATCCTTCATTATCTCAAACTGAGATAACAAAAAGAGAAGCTTTAGATTCAAAAGCAATTTATTCATTTTATTGTGCTTTATCACCTGTTGAGTATAAGAAAATTGCTTCTTGTGAATCAGCAAAGGACATCTGGGACACCCTCTACACCACATATGAAGGAACAGATAGAGCGAAGGAAACACGGATCAATCATTGCTTGGACAATATGAATCGTTCGAATGAAGACAGGAGAATCGATTCTTGTCGATATGTATGACGATTTGCTTGACATAGTAAACGGTCTTGCATATCAAGGACAACCAGTCTCAGATGCGATGAAAGTCAACAAACTTTTGAGAGAACTGTCAAAGCAGTGGGACAACATCAAAACCTCACTTCGAGAGACTCAAAGGATCATGCCACTATCAATGAATGAACTGATTGGAACTCTTCAGTCATATGAAGTAGAACGTATACATGAAGAAGATCCAGAAGGTAAGAAGTTAATTGCCTTAAAATCTAACATTGATTCTGATGAAACAGATTTTGAAAGAGATGAAGAAGACGACGATGAGGAGATGAAGTTGCTGATCAAAAGATTTCAACACCTTCTGAGAAAGAGAAGAAACCCCAAAGAGAAGAAGCCAACAAAGAAATCCGGAGAAAGAAAATATCTTAAGAACAGAGACGACAATGAAGAGTCTGAATCCAGCGATGATGAAATCCTTGAGCAGGGAAATCTATGCTTAATGGCGGACATTGAATCCGAAGAAGATGAGGTGATTTGTTCAGATCCTATTCTCAATGATGATGATCTTTTTGAAGAGTTAAGCACGGAACATGAGAATGCGTTGAAGAAGATCTCCAAGTTGAAAAAGGAAGTCTCTAAATTGAAGCAACAAAATATTACGAATGAGAAAAGGATCATTGAGCTTGAAAAGGAGAATTCCTCTGTCAAGGAAGAAAAGGATATTTTGCAAAAAGAAGTTGATCCCTATAAGGAAGAAATTCCGAAGATTTGCAAAAAAATTTCTCTTGGCTCAAAGACATTAGAGCATGTTCTATCCATTCAAGTCCCCTATTACAACAAATCCGGCCTCGGTTTCGAAAATGAAAGTAAGATCAAGAATGACTTTCCAAAGGTCAAGGAGAGATTAAAGCGCAGGCCTTCAATCCAGCATTATAGAAATCATTTTGGTAAGCAATTTGTCAAGCCTATTGGATTTCAATATTATAATTGCTCGAACTCGAGTGATCACTATAAGCAACAATGTCCAACTGATTGGAAGAAATCCAAGACAATCAATTGGAGATTTGATGCTTCTTCTAACCAAAAAGGACCCAAGCAGATTTGGGTACCAAAGAAAAGATGATATTACTTTTCTTGCAGGGAATAAGGAAAGAGAATTTGGTAAGTAAAGGTATATTTTTCAAATTCTAAATTTGCTTTGGATACGTACTTTAAATATCTATGAATTCTCTTTGGACTTAACATTTTATCTTCATGCTCTGCTTTATTTTGACTTGAAATGGCGTGTTTTACATCGTTGGTTGTGTTAGAAATGTCCTAATAAAAGTCAAGTTTATTTTGATGGATTTTTTAGATGAAATTTTATAAAAGAGATTGTTTGATATCTTATTAGAAATGAAATTTTTTTTATGGACTCATTATGTGTTCTCCGATATTGTCATGCCTTACAAAGAAAGAATTTATTTTTGCGAGATATTGTTTTATTATGCATATTTCCCTTAAATACTCTACTGAGATGAGTTGGGAAAGTATCCTTGGGCTTCTATGAAAGTTTCCTATTTTGCGTCTAACAAAAAGAAAGGATCCAAATACAAGGATACTAGAAAGGAAATGAGTTTATTGCAGACAATTATACAAAGGAAGCATGAATGCAAGCCTACGCAAGTCATGATGCAATCAACGAAGGATCTCAAGTGATGAATTCTTTTCTAAAAAGGAAAGGTATATTCTGCACATGCATATTGGGATATGAATCAGTAATTTCTATTGCCATGTGTGTCAGATATTGCATAAATTTAATACATCAAAATATCTACATTCCTTTTGCGAAATTCGTTAATGTCATATTATCTTTATGCATCTAAGATTCATGCTTAACGAAAATTCATACAATCTTGAAAGATATTATTGCATATTTTGGATACACTTGGTATATTCTTGGAAGCACTATTATAATTGGCATGTTTGATCCGCAAATCGGAGAAAGGTATGTACGTGACATTCTCTATATTTTGCAAAGATTATTATCTCTCTTACAAGTATTTGCAGGATGTAAAAGAATCTTTCCTTGTGAAGTTTGGAAAGCTTGATCCCACAATTGGGGAGATTCTGCAACATTTCTGAAGGATCGAAAATTTCTCCTTTATGCAAAATTCTGACAAATTATTGGAGGCATGTCAAAACACGATGAGCAAACGCTTACTGCGTCGTACGAAAGGATAAGTTGCTTCAGTTTGTTGAGTTTATGCAGTTTGAATCCGAGACGAGCTTGATGGAAGAAAACAAATTTCTTTCTCGAATTTCAAAATACAAACAAATGTGGTGGATGTTGCTGCTACAAAGAAAATAGAGGAACAACAATTTGTTCAAAGTGCACAAGCTGCAATGAAAGTTATTTGCAAAAGCTGTCTTGATGACAGGGGGAGAAAAACAAAAAGTGGAAAAATGCAAAAGAAAGGGGGAGAATCATCTCAAAATGGTATCAAATTGAGGGGGAGCGTAAATCAAGTATGAAAGTCAATTTAATTTCTGCCCACTCTTGATTACTATGAAAGAAAAGGTAATGTATGTTAGAACTTGCTAAGTTCTACACAATCCGGGTTAGTATCTCTTACTTTTTGTCATTAACGAATCTCTTATTTATATTATCGTTTTTTCATGACAAAAAGATTGTGAAATTTATTATGTGCATACGCGTTCGTTGATATATATGATATTTGATTCTTCAGAACATGAGCTATATTTAATATATGTTATGTTCGCGAAAGATGATATTTTTGAAGGTTGTGTTTCATGCCAAATATATTTTGAAGATAGTATGTGAAGATGAGTTAAATTTATATTCTCTACGTGATACCCTTTCCATTACTATCACTTTTTGTTTATGACAAAAAGGGGGAGAGAATGTAAATATGCATATGTGCTTAGTGGTTAATTCTACTTAATTGATGCATAATATTGAGTTGTGATTATACTTCCATATATTGTCATAATCATTAAGGAATTTTATGCATATATCTTTTTGTGATGCTGACAAAAAGGGGGAGAAATATGCAGATATGATTTGGTTTGATATGCAGATTATTGGATTCAAAGAAAAGGAGACAGACTGTGATTTAGATTTTTTTTTACGGTTCATATTTTGTCATACTCCTTGTCTTATTCAAAAACTGAGTATAAAAAAATCTCATATCAAATTACTCTGATCATATATGATATCTTGAATATCTGCTACATTATATGCTTGATCATTTTTTTCAAAATTATCTCAAAATCTATATATCTGCATGGAAGTTTTGTCACCATCAAAAAGGGGGAGATTGTTAAGGAAAATTCCCAATAGATTTTGAAGTTGACAAAACTGTCCATGAGTGTTTTGTAAGTCTGATAAATGCTTTGAAGTATTTTGATTCAGGAAGTTGTTTTTGGAAGAAAAGCATATGTCAATCTTGATCTAGTTCGTGTTCAGATTGTGAAAGAACTTCAAGCAAAAGAGATTCAGACTCAGAACGAGAAGTTCAGACTCGAACGAGAAAGTTCGGACGCAGAAATTCTTCGGCGCGGGCGCTGAAATTATTCGACGCAGACGCTAAAATTATTCGACGTTGAATTCGAACGAAACATAACAGCTAGTGATCGGTATGGATTTCACGAAGGAAAGTTTTGATTGTCTCAATCTAAGGCTATAATTGATTGACAATCAAACATTACGACAAGTATACATTACAACGGATAAAGCTCTACTTATGGAAACCAAGATTCGATTGTATGGGCGACCAGAATCAGCGGGATTCAGATTTTATCAACCAACGGCTACTCAATCCATTTTATACAAATCTGTCCAAAGGTGAATATTGGAAGATGATCCTCTGAAGACTGTCCAACGGCTAGTTTGGAAGTGGAGGAGTATAAAAGGAGATCAACGAGGAGCAGAAGGTAGAGAACGAAATCAAGAATCAACAAGTCCAAAGTTTGAGCATACTCCGATTCAATCTCTTGTCTTTCGTGAGCTTAAACGTGTAATCATTTGAGAGGTGTAGACAGTGTTATAAGTGTGTGCTTAGGTGTGAGATAGTGTGATCTATCGGCTTGGTATAAGCAGCACCAGCTTCGGGGAGAAGTGCTTGGGTTTAAGCAGCACAACTTGCTGTAACTTCTCATTGATTTGATTAGTGGAATCCAGCCAGTAGGCTGTAAGCGTGGGAGAGTGGACGTAGGCTTGCTATAAGCCGAATCACTATAAACTTGTGTGCAGATTCTCTATCCCTTATCTCTTACTTTACATTCTGCACATCAAGAGCACAGTCTATATAATCTATCTTGAATCTGAATTTTATTCAGACTCTTCTGCGATTTATTTTGTTTCCGCATAAATTATTGAAACTTGTTTTAGATCACCTATTCACCCCCCTCTAGGTGATCCTTGCTAGCTACATCAGAGGAAACCATGGATTAAGGAAAATATAACTCATTAATAAAAGTGTTAAATCTTGACGATGAGGGGACATGAATTAATAACTATGACGATGTAGAGATCATTAAATCGAATTTCATGGTCATCAAGTTATTACAGTGGTGCCTCCTAACATAAAAGTAGGACACAACCGAGTTTGATCGATAGTTTGTCCTAGTATAATTGTCCTCTCAAATTCCAAAATTTCATCTATGTTTTATTGAGAACATGATGATAGTCGAATTTTCAATTAGACTAATTCCTTCCGGTGCACTAAAATGCCCTATCCACGTACATATGGTAATGCTCCACCCACCGGTGGCCGATGTGGGATCCCAGGTTACTTTAGGCAGAAGACATTGCAGTTCGAATACCGAATGCTCCGTATTCGGACCAAGCATTTAACCAACCAGCTAAACATTAGAATTAAGATCAAATTAATCATATTGCAGAAATTGTCTTTATTTCTTTGAACTTTAGCATAAATGTCATGTATGGAGAACAAATAGCTAGAGTGCAGTCATTTACCGCTGGACGAGATTGACCACCTTCATCGGCCACAAGAGACTGAAGGTAATTGTAAGTCCAGACAGTTGGCTGATAATTGGCCGATCTCCGTCCTCCTTGATTATCAAAGACCTGCCTGCTCATTGAACTATGGACTCGACCATTAGCCGTCGGAGAGGAAAGCTTCGTAAGATAAGGTGCCAACAAAAGACGAAGTGCCATTGATCGCTCGAACTGAACTGAGCCAATAATATATCAAGTGAATAACTTAGCGATCAGTGCATGCCCTCGTTAAGAAGAACAGTCCAATATTTATACAAATTTTTGGATTTCCTAGGACACAACGTTGGAATATGCTGATGGATTCTCGACTTCAAGTGATGTCGTTGTCATCACGGCGGACCACATCCTCTCGTCCTATTGGTTTTTTCATTACTATGTTTGGTCAATCACACGTTGATGGGCTCGTCTCTCGTCCACTCGGTGGTGTCTTTGTGTTTTTGCCGGATCTCATGTGTTGTAATATAACCCAAAAGCTAACCATGATCTTACAATTTAAATCAATGTGAAATCACTAGAGAAATAAAATGATGAATAATAAAGAATACCAAAGATTTACGTGATTCAGTTTGAATATCGGTATCTACATTCACGGGGAGAGCCAGTAGCAAATGATTTACTATAATCGGATAATTAGAATTACAATCGATCACACACTTGAGTATTTTCTACGCCTAAATTATATCCTAATTCAAAGTGTTTACAAATAAAACAACTCAATAACATATAAAACTGACGGCACAAATCACCAGGTGTTAAGGCCCAAAGTAAAGCTCTACGTACGGCTTAAAAACAAGAACGTCTAGACGTTCTTTCTCTTTTTTTCTTCGTGTAGCTGCTCTTGCTTCATGGAATCCCACGACTAAAGAACCTACTGTGCGGCTACTTTCTTAGAGTCCTTGGGCGGCTGCCTTCAACAACCCATGGCGGCCACACTTCAAGGAAAAGAACAACCTAAGGCTAGAGCCAAAAAGAAAACCTATATCTATTGTACTTTGTTATCTTTTCTTAAAGGGTTAATATCACGAAAAATCCTAAATTGGTATATTTGTAACACATTTACCCCCAAATTATTTTTTTTACCATAAAAAATCTCAAACTGGTACACCTGTGACAATTTTACTCTGAACTATTTTTTTGATCACCAAAAATCCTAAACTGGTACACCTGTGACAATTTTACCTTGAACTTACCACAAAAAATCCCAAACTGGTACATATGTGACAATTTTACCCTGACTTAAAATTTTAATATTATTTTTTATTTTTTTCGAATTTTTATTTATTTTTTATTCTTTTCTTTTCTTTTTTTTTCATCTTCAACCTCTGGCCGGTCGCCGGACCGGCGACCGGCCAGAGGTTGAAGGTGAAGAAAAAAAAAGAAAAGAAAAGAAAAGAAAAAATAAAAAATTCAAAAAAATTCAAAAAAATAAAAATAATAATATTAAAAATTAGTTCGGGGTAAAATTGTCACATGTGTACCAGTTTAGGATTTTTTGTGGTATGTTTGGGGTAAAATTGTCACAGGTGTACCAGTTTGGGGGTTTTTTATGGTCAAAAAAATAGTTTTGGATAAATATGTCACAAGTGTACCAGTTTAGGGTTTTTCGTGGTATTAATCCTTTCTTAAAACCCTAGCTAAGCCCCCGAATATTATAGAAAACGTGGGCACCCATCTTTATCTTGTAGTGGCAGAGGACCTTCCCTTCATTCTTTTAGTTTGGAAAAATAATACAAATAATTCATGAACTTTAGCTCAATATATAATATGATTCTTGAATTTTCAATTTGTTCAATGTGATCCCTGAACTTTTGATACATGTTACATTGAATATTTTTATATAGTTCAAGGATTAAGCTGAACATGTACCAAAAGTCTAGGAATCACATCGAATAAATTAAAATTTTAGGGGCCACCTTATACCTTAGGTTAAAGTTCGAGAACCACATTGAATAAATTAAAAAATTTGGGTATCTCATTGCACATTGAGTCAAAGTTCATAGACCATTTGTGTCATTATCCATTTGATTTCTTTCTCTTGTGCGGTCACAACTTAAGAAGAAAAAGAACCCGCTCAATCCTTTAATCAGGTCGGGTCTCGTACACGAACTCAAACTCGATACATAATTTAACAATTTTCTACCTTGGCTCAACATTTAAAGCCAAGTCATAGTACTCATCATCCATGTTGCTCTCCCAGTGCCCCGACGAGCGCTTACTCTCCATAGACATCAATTGTGCCCAAGCATTGAGCTTTGCCAAAAGAACATGCTTAATCATCATGTATGCTGGGTTCTCCACTATAGCGATCTTTTTTACAACCACCTTACCATTCGCTAAGACATCTCGAATGAAATGGTACCTAATGTCGATATGCTTTGTTCACTCGTAATAAACTTTATTATATGCCAGATATATTGCACATTGGTTATCACAGTGTATATCAACACTTTTTTTATCTAGCCCAAAGTCTGAGAGCATACCCCTTAGCCATATCGCCTCCTTTTCTGTAAAGGTTAGTGCCATGTATTTTGCCTCAGTTGAAGACAAGGCAACGCGGTCCTGTAAGTACGCCTTCTAACTCACTGCACCATCTACTAGCGTAAACACATACCCAGCTAAAGACTTGTACTCATCCAAGTCACCAGCATGATCTGAATCCATAACCAATGGTCTCACTGCCATTTCTGTTCCACTGGTACACTATACCAACGCATGTTGTCCCCTTCAAATATATGAGGATCCACTTCACAGCTTCCTAATGAGTTTAACTAAGCCGCTTCATGTAACGGCTAACTATGCTCACAGCTTGCAAAATATCAAGCCTAATGCATACTAGGGGTGTCAAACGGGTGGGTCAAGTTGAGTTTGGGTCAAATCGAAAATGGTCTGACTCATATCAACCATTTAACCCGTTTTGACCTATATTCATGTAATGCAAATCTAGCGACCCATACCCAACCTGACCCAACCCATACCCAACTTATACTCGACCCAACTCATATTGATAAAAGAGTTTAGAATTAAATCCAATTTAGAAAAAACTTCTTTCTTATAAATTTTTTAAAATATATATTACTAAAATACTTCAACGCCATCCAAAATTAGTGGATAATTTTTATAATCTAAAAAAATTAGTTTTTTTATATTTTTATATATCTTTTATTTTATTTTTATTTTTTATTTTTATGTTATTTTTAAAAATAGAAATTTTAATTTCTTTTCTTTTCTTTTTTTTCTTTTTCTTTTTCACTCTTCTTTGGCCAGTCGCCGAACACGACGACGGTCAACAACCAGCCACAAGCGAGCTTCAACTTCGAGCTCGAGCTCGTTCGACGAGGCTCGAGCTCACCAGATTCCGACGAGCTCGAGCCTCGTTGAACGAGCTCGAGCTTGCGATATGGACGAGCTCAAGCTCATGGACCTCTGGCGAGCTCAAAGCTCACCGATCTAGACAAGCTCAAGCTCGTCGATCTGGACAAGCTTGATCTCGCCTACAGCCGTCACCGTGGCCGGCGACGGCCTAAGGAGAAGGAAAAAGGAAAAAATAATTAAAAATTCTATGTTTTTTTAAAATAAAAAATATTTTTTTTTAAAATGACATGTTATGATGATTCACTTAAGCTATTTATCCTACAAGTTAATAACTTATATGGGTCGAAATATGGGTCAAATATGGGTTTGTTGCAAACCCATATTCGGCCTATATAAACTTAAGCTTTAATATTGCAAATCCATTGTGACCTGTTTTCAAAATTTCAAGTGACCATATTCAACCTAGGCCCACTAAAAATGAGTTAATAAATGGATTTCGGACCCATATTGTCACATCTAGTGCATACCATAGCATACATAATACTACCCACTATACTAAAATAAGAAACACGGGGCATATGCTCCTCCTCATTCTCAATCTGCGGTGATAACTTATCAGAAAGTCCAAGTGCTTCGCTAAAGGTGTACCCAAAGATTTCGCTGACTGCATAGTAAAACGTGCTAGAATATTCTCAATATATTTCTTTTGAAACAAACGTAAAACTCGAGCTGTCATATCACGTAAAATGTCCATACCCAATATTTTCGTTCCATCACCTAAATCTTTCATCTCAAACTTAGCACTCAACTGGTTTTTCATCACATCAATATCAGACATATTCTTAATTGCTATTAACATATTATCAACATATAATAACAAATAAATGAAACACTCATTCTCCAATCTCCTAAAGTAAACACAACTATCCATAGGACTTTTTGAATAGTCCTGAATAGCCATGAAAGCATCAAAACACTTATACCACTACCTATGAGACTGTTTCAACCCATACAAAGATTTCTTTAACAAGTAAACATGATTTTCCTTACTCGGAATAACAAATCCCTCTAGCTGCCTCATGTAAATCCGCTCCTCTAACTCACTGTAAAGAAATGTCGTTTTCACATCCAACTACTCTAGCTCGAGATCCTGTGCAGCAACTAAAGCAAGTAATAACTAATACATGAATAGAAGTATATCTTATCACAAGAGAGAACACTTCATTATAGTTAATGCCCTTCTGTTGTGCGTACATTTTGCAATAAGTCTCGCTTTATATCTCCCTGCCTTGACACCGAGAATGCCTTCCTTCCGTTTGTAGACACATTTGCTTTCAACAATCTTTTGGCTCTTTGGTACCTTCACCAACTCCCATGTCTGAAGCTATGTTATCTCCTTCAAGAATCGTTGTCTCTTCTACAATCTCAATCTGTGTTACCCCAGATGTCTCCACCTGAAACTCCACCTCACTACTAACATCATAATCTGTCTGCCCTGCTAGCAATGTCTCAAAACTCCTCTGTTAAAGCATTATGGTCTCGTCAAAGATCACATCTCTACTTATTAGAAAATCGGGTGATCTGGAATCAATTCACCACAACTGGTAGCCTTTCACCCATGTGCATAACCCATAATTATGCACTCTTCTCCCTCTGCTCAGGCTTACCATCACTCGCATGAGCATAAGCACGACATTCGAATACTCTTAATCTGGAGTGATTAATAGGTTGCACCAACCATACTTCCTCAACAGTCATCCACTCAATAGCAGATGATAGAGATCGATTAATCAAGTAACATGCCATGTTCATTGCTTGGGCCCAAAATTCCTTATCTAGTTCTGCATGTAAAAACATGCACCGAGCTCGCTCAAGTAAAGTTTTGTTCTTCCGTTCTGCTACACCATTTTGCTGTGGTGTCACCGA